CAGACGTGTGCTCTTCCGATCTGGTACCCACTGGCGTTTCTTCAAAAATCATCTCAAACAAAAAAACCAAAAAGATTATTAAATTAGATATTATAATCTAGTACTTGTCATAGGATTTTTTTTTTCATTGCTTAGTTTTTGTTTTATAGGTAAAATAATAACTAATTTTTGGTCGAAAAATCGCTATGTTATGTTCAAACGTCCGCCATTTTGTCATAAATTGATATTTTCAAAATCAGCTATGACAAATACTAGATTATAGTATTTAATTTAATAATCTTTTTGGTTTTTTGTTTTAAATGATTTTTGAAGAAACGCCAGTGGGTACCGTTTACCAGAATTTTTTTATCCGGCGCTCCAAAGATTATACAACAACCTCGTTAATTTTTGATTAAAAAAAAAAAAAAATTGAACATATTCCTGAATGTGTATACTTTTAGATAGAAAAACTCCCAATCCGAAATTTCAAATAGTTTTCCTAACAAAATTCACAAAAATGACCTTTTTTCCGGCTCCTAGGTGTATATCTCCCCTTAACTATGTGTATGTGTGTATGTATGTATATATTTTTATTAATATTATTTCTGTACACGAACTTGTATAGTTATCACATTTATAAAGTTGCCACCACTATGTCCTTTTCTCTGAGTGCAGAGTAATGCCCAAAATCCCAGGACACAAGCTTTCCGGAAAACCGGAGATCACGGGGTCAAACTCGAAGAGGCTATAATTGGGCAGGAGCAATTATAATTGGGCATTGACTTAATTACTTATTGTTAGATGATAAGCTTTAGATAAGCTGTCCAATCTGATCAGGAATTTACTTGATTATTTAGGTGAATCTTCGATCGGCCGGAAGAAAACGTTTCGCACATCTGAGCGCCACCCAGGACGAGATCCACGTGGATGCGCCGGTGCCGTGGGGTGAAGATACCCTGTTCACCTTGGAATTTCGCCCGACGACGGGTGACGACGACAGTCACGGAAATCATTCCAAGTCTGAGGGCGGCCATTATGCGCTACATACTTGCAATAATAAATATCTCGCGCGCGATGGTAAACTTCTTGACGCGTGCACGCGAGACTGCCTCTACGCTGCGGAATTCCACGCTGGTCTTCTCGCTCTTCGGTATCACTAATTATATAATTACTTTACGCCTCTTTATATATCGTAGATAGTCTTTCTTAATTAACAATTAAATCTTATATTAGCAGTAAGAAAAAAGGCGTATATACAAAATGTAATTATTTCAAGATTGAAATTAATTTCAATTAACGTTAATTAAACATTTCGGACGAATTAAATTAAACTAATTGAATTAATTTCGATAAATTAAAACTCCTACAGTGACATACATGGCGCGTACTTGGCACCGATCGGAAGTAAGGCCGTTCTGAAATCGAGATCAACGACTGTTACGCGCGACGAGCTTTTCTCGCTGGAGGAATCTCTGCCGCAGGCATCTTTCGTCGCAGCATTGAATCAGCGATACGTTTCTGTGAAGCAAGGTGATTCTAAATTTTACTTTCAACGATCTTCCGTCGTGAGATAAAACTGAGATGTAGTTGAAAATTAATCACAATCGTTGCCCCGATCTCGATTAGGCGTTGACGTGACGGCCAATCAGGACGAGATCTCTGGCCACGAGACATTCCAGTTGGAGTTCGACCGGGTGACGAAACGATGGTACGTGCGAACGATGCAGGACCGTTACTGGAGTCTGGAGGCTGGCGGCGGTATACAGGCATCAGATCATAAGCGCTCATCAAACGCGCTCTTCGATCTTGCGTGGCAATCGGACGACGGCACGGTCGCGTTGCGCGCGAACAACGGCAAGTTCTTGGCCACCAAGCGGTCCGGTCATCTCTACGCGAACGCCGACTCGTTGAACGGTAACGACTCCGACGCCGCCAAGTATCACTTCTACCTGATGAATCGGCCCGTGCTGGTGCTGCGATGCGAGCAGGGTTTCGTCGGACCCAAGAGCGCGGCTAGTCCCAAGCTCGAGTGCAACAAGGCTGTTTACGAGACGATACGCGTCGAACGATGCGAGCGCGGCGTGGTCAGATTCAAAGGTGATTTTTTTTTTAATTCGTTCAATGTGTTCATCACTGCGATAGAGGAGGGGGATATATGACATATGTTTGATCAAATTAAAGACGAAATTCGCGAATTTATTTAAGAAAAAAGAATAAATGGACACAATTCTGTCTGTTTAGATGTTATTTACTATTATTGTTAAAAAACTTGTAAGAGTACTATAATTCCCATAGTAGTTTATTGTTAGAAATATTATAAAGTATATCTATTAAAGAACTTTGCCATCCGTAATCAATTATGCAACATATATTTCAATTATCAGGAAAGTACACAAGAAAAAGATAGAAATGTTACGAATCTTGAATCAAAGAAATTTGCAATAAATTATTAAATAGCATTTTAGTCCAAATGTTTCGTACAATGAGAAATCTATTTTTTACGCGTTCAACAATCTCATACTTAATTATAATCTACTTATCTTTAATCCTGTTGGAATTGCAAGGCTCCTTACAATCGCATTATTCCTTATAGAAAAGAGGGCGAGCAACAACAATGTTCAATCTTTTAATTTACTATTGGAATAAATGCCATCTATCGATTACCAGAATTTTGTTTGATGAAAATTACTAAATATTTCAACAATTATATTTGACAAGTAATAAAGGCAATAACTAACACGTTTATACAAAAGTAATTAGAAGAGGTCAACGGGCAAGAACGAGCGAACGAATGTGCTAATATATATGTATATATTGTTTAGAATAAGAATAAGTAATCTTTATGCATTTGAAATTCACAGACACCGAATGTTTCGATTGCACAGAGTTTTCTTTAGCAATAATAAAAAAATTATATTTTTTTACATTTACATTATTAATTTTAAACAACATGTATTAACATCATTTATATATTGTTATTAACCGTTAACCAAGAGGCCGTTTATCTCTTCTAATTATATTTGAGGGATGTACAAAATTGACTTGTACTAAATCATATAAACTTCTGAATCGATCCGAATTAATACTTTATCTATATACACTGTATAATCGCACAATAATAAATAATCTAACGTGATAAGAAGGATGACTACTAATTATTTTACTAATATTATTAAAAAATATTTGTGTTTCTGTGATATTCGTCCAGTATTTGCTATACAATTTATAATATTGATTATATAACTCATCCGTTTTATTAATTACAGGACAAAATGGAAAATATTGGCACGCGGATAGCGAGGGAGTGACCGTGGACTCGGACATACCATCCGACGGCTTCTACCTGGAGTTACGCGAGCCGTCACGCATCTGCATCAAGTGCGTGGACGGGCGGTATCTCACCGCTGGCAAGAACGGCGCGCTGCGTCTGGGCGAGTCGGACTACGAGTCCGCCACGAAGTGGGAGTTCTAAAAATGCGAAGGATGAAAATCCCGTAAATGCAACGAGCAAGATGTGTATTCCACTGTCTCCTCAGCTTTGTGGTCATAAGTTCGCAGCACACACCGTGTCCCCGGAACACAACAACGGCGAGAGATCGGCGCAGTTCGTGCCGCTTCCTGCCGTGTACTTAATCGAGCATACCGCGTACGTCGCGCGTCGAAACGACAGTTTAGTATTCGACGTTTCACTCCAATATATACTTTTTTTATTTTTCTTGGTAAAGCTTCGTGGATCCCCGCAGTATATTCAAGACTAGCGGTTTATCCTGATAAACGCAAAAGTCCGAGAGACACGTCCAAAAAGACCGGTTATTATAACTGCGGTCTATTTTATACGTAACACACACATACACACACTTTTATATCTTTATATATTTATAGGTATATACAGTTTGCCACGCTGCAAGTTCAATTTTATATCGACGTCCTTCGTATGTGTATTACGTCTATTCGCAATTCTGCGATCGCGTTGATCACGGAATTAGTGTAACGATCGTTATTATATATATGCTTGTTTAGTTTTATGTTATCTGATTCTGAGACAAAAAAGGAATTTTATGATGATAAATGTGATCAGCGAAAGATCGCGCGTTCAGTAAGCATAGATTTTTTTTCTACTCACAGCGTAGTAATGAGTTTTTTTTTGCTATCGTTATGGATACATTTTTTGTATATTAGATTATTTAAAAGAATATGTAGAAATAACAGACTCAGACAGCACACATGTTTAAAAGTGGAACAAATAAGATTTCTAAAAGACGTCTTTAGACATCACATCATGAGCCGTCTTAAAGAGATCTTTGGTAAGTCACTTTTGGACATGCTTGCTGTTGTGTAGGAGTTAAGAAGGCACGCTTGAAAGGAGAGCCAGATTCAAATCCGACCATATATCCGATCGCTGCCCTCCCGGTTCGGTATAATCAACCTTCAAACTTCATTACCGAGACACATTTCTGTTACGATCGTAAATTAGGAAAAGTTCGTTTAATAAGATGCACATGCAGTTTTCGCTGTACTTTATCCTGCTTCACACGTTATACATACTAGCCTGCCCTGCGTAGGTATGTTAAGTGAATGAAATATGCCGGAACTAAGGCTTGGTGATGGAAAGATTCGCAGCACACAGTTTCCGTGAAATTCCGTTCGCTTTTTCTTCTCTTTTTTTATTTTTATTTTTACGTTATTTACGTTTATTGAGAACGATACTTCGACGGATGTCGCGCGTGTTTTAGCAGTAAGATAGATTTCATCTCAGTCTCCTCGCTCTTTTCGGTAAACGATGAGTAGAATCGACACGGAATCGTTTCGTGATTTAGGAACTTTCTGGTATGTCGAATAAAATTATCGAGAATTTTTCGAGATAGAGAGAAAGGGGAGAGAAAGATATATTAAGGTATGTTAGAGTTTCGTGTAAATATATGTTTGTCTCTCCAATATCATTACAATAATTACGGTAATTGTAACATGGTACTACGCGTACTCTTCGCGCTGCTTAATTTAAAAACAAGAGCAAGCACACGATTTTTATGATCGCGAGAAGCGGGGCGGAGATATATGTTCATTAATTGAATATTTTACTTCTTTGGACAAGATGTTGCTCAGATATGTCTCGATTCGCCGACGACGACACACGTATTACTTTCTTAGATATTCGTGTAAGCGGCAATTTTCTCTTTTTACTACTTTTTTCACTGGTAGAACCATATTAAGAACAATGGATGTAATAAATTAAAGGATGTAATAAAAAACAATTTTTTTATTGGTCAGGACTTCGTCTCGCTAAAATTATTTTTTCCACAAACGCAGCTCCTTTTGCAAACTGACATATGTACATATGTATAGGATTATATATAGAACGATGTATGTACAAAGGATGGCTCATGTCTGTTGTGTTCAATTTTAGTGATTTTTTGATGCCTCGCGACTTTTAACCAATTTATATATACAAAGTGTCCCAAAATTCGCGGATTAGCAGTACAGGACATGATACTTTGTGCTAAAAGGAACAACTTTTTCCTTTAGCAAATTTTGATTTGACAAGTAATTTTGGCAGAAGACCTGGTTAAATTTAACGAATAATCGCTCTTGCCCATGCGGCGCTCTCCTCCGTTCACTTGTTCCTAGTCCTTGGCTAATATTTACAAGTAATGTCTTAAGATACTAATACGGCTCTGTTACAATTAATTTACGACATTTTAAGACTGTGTTTAAGACAGTCTTAAATATTAAGAATCAATTATAAATATCTTTTATTGCTTGAAATAAGAAGTTATTAAAATAAATATTGATTTAAAAAAATAAAATCTGCCAAAATTACTTGTCAGATCAAAATTTGCTAAAGGAAAAAGTTGTTCCTTTTAGCACAAAGTATCACTCCTAATCCGCGAATTTTGAGACACCCTGTATATATATGATCGTAAGAGACGCGGGCCATCTTTGTTCAACAGGTCAGTTTGAATAATTTGCACGTTAAAAGTTACAGGAGTAAGCTTTTTAACTAACGTTTAAATTCATTGCTATGCAATTATTCATTAAAAATATCTCTTAAAACATGCTGACTTTTCAAATCAACAACTGGAAAATAATGTCGGATATCGAGTAAGGCGGAAATTGTAATGATAATTTACAATTTATTATACAAAATATTTATTCTGCTGCCATTCGTTGTCTTCGAGCAGCTCGGTCCTCTATTTCTAAGTAATGCTTGTTGAACATTATCTTCAACGTCGGGTACATCAAAGGCAACAGCGGCAGCTGCGACAGGCTGATGTGCATATTGTCGTATGCAATGCCGACGTTATCGAGTTTAAGGCCGTTTTTGCCGTTTTCCGGCAGGTGAGGTATTACCGAGTAGCGTTGACTGAAGTGCGTTAACAGCGTGAACTTCGACCGCATCTGTTCGCCCGCCAGTATGGCCTGCGAGACTGTCGAATGAAACTTCAATCTCGCTTCCTCCACGAGATCATCTTCCATTGTCGCCTCGTGAATGAGTAGATCGCAATCTCGGCCAAGTTTCACGAGATTCTCACAGGGCATAGTGTCACCGCTAGATACACAATATTACATTCGTATTTCGTATCGCATAATTTTTTTTATTCGTAGAAAAAAAAGTAAATAAAATATTTAAAAAAAATATACCTAGCCAATATTCACAGTCCATTCTTATTTTAAGACCATTTTAATTAATGTCTAAGATGCTAATACAGTTTTGTGTGTAATTGACACATTAGATTGCAATTAAGATGGTTTTAAATATAGGACATGGACCAAAAAAAAAAACGGAAAAATTCAAAGTTTAAAACAAAAACTTAGAACTTTTATTTAATTAATTTTAATTACTCAAATCAAAATGTAGTACATACATAACATGTTCATTTACTTAAATTATTTTATTCTTTTTGATGTATGTTACACTATGGTGTTGCTTGATCACCATTACATCTTGAAAATGACGTCCTGCAAGTGACCATATCTGAACATTTTTACAATCTCTCTCTTTTTCTCAACTTTTTGAAGTCTCTCATGATTTTTTTGCAACATTTCAACTGTGACGTTTGCAATTTCTTAACGAATATTTGTTACAAGTTTATCAATACTTATATTCAAGACGTCATTCGAAGGATGTTATTTTCATGACGAAATGGACATATCAAGTGACACGATAGTGTTTGCGATGCCAAGTACATAAAAAGGGTAAGATAATTTATAAATGACATTGTGTACATTTCGAATTAAAATTAATTAAGTGAGGTTTATTAGTTTTTATTTGATCTCTTTAAATTTTCCCGTTTCTTTGGCTGACTCTGTATAAGAACCGACTGTGGATACAAGCCTTTTGTCTCTACAATTGAGTGGACAATTAACTTGGGACTTTGGAGAGAAAGGATTACTACACTTACCTATACACTATTTTCTTTCCATTATGGAGTGTCACGGAAACGCCATACGAGTAGGGACAATGCTTGACGTACATCGTCTTCACGGCTCGCACGTTCAGCGTATTGTACATGCTCCTGTATTTGTATAACTCCGGGTTGTGTACGTTCATAAAGAATTCGCTGTTCGAGATCAGCGTAATTCGATGTAAGATAGGCTCGAAACGTTTGTGATACATCTGCAACAACGCGGCGATATGTCCTGGCGCGAACAGATACAGAGGATCTTCCGTGACCTTCGCTCTCTCCTTCAGCAAGCCGATCAGTCCAATATGATGATCCGCGTGCATATGCGATACGTACACTGCCTGAAATATAATTTGAATAATATTGCAAGAATCGTCATTATGGAATTTACAAAGAACAAAGAAAAAAGTGAAAATGATCGTCGTACGTTAATCGTTTTTATGATGTTGTGCGTCTTCGACTTTCCGTAGATTTTCACTATCTGTCCGAATGTACCCTCTCCACAATCTAGTAGCATACTATGGTCTTGGTCCACTCGCAGGAGTATGCCGCTCGTGTTTCTGACTTTATTCGGTATGCTAGAGCCAGTACCCAGCATGACGATCTTCGGGTACTCATTGCCAACATGTAGCGTCTTCGTTCGGGTGCTAATCTCTGTCTGCAGTTCCGCCAACGCGTCTAAAATCCCGTCAATCTCGAAAACTTCGTCTACGTATTCCTTCGGATGCAGCATTACCTCGTTCTCTGTGTCGAATTTCAAATGCGGCTGCAGGTGGACGGTATGATGCGTTCTGGGACGATGTATAATAGGCAGATCTTCTTCCTGAAGAAGAAAAAGAAACTTGTATTTACAATTATTTTGAAATTCCTAAGTAAAAGATGAATCAAAGAAACGGGAAAATTTAAAGAAGTAAAATAAAAACTTGGGCCGGTATTCATAGTCGATAATTATTTGATTTGATGAATAATAACAATTTTATAAATCTCTAATTATTCGTCAATTTAATTTTTACAAAACTTTATAATCGTTAATTCATGAAATTTTTTTAGTTACTTAAATGACATGATATTACATTTTGATGTAATTAAAATTAATCAAATAGTTTCTAAATTTTTATTTTTTACCCGTTTAAATTTGTTTTTTTATTTTGGCCCACTTCTAGAATTAAAGAAACGAGTTCGATGAATAATAATGTGCCTCACCCTCGTCTTCTTTTGAAAACTCTCCTCGTTTAAAAAGGGGAATATCTCTGGATGCAACATATGGAGCTTATGCTGTTGCCTGTGCATTGCTTCGGTGCCCATGCACTGATTTTCCTCATTCACGACTATATGACGCGTATTAAGGCCAAATTTACTCATCCAGTTCACGTAGCGAGAATCGTCCATCACTTTCTGCGGTGTGAAATGAACAACACAGTATGGTATATCGTCTTCATTCGCCGTTTGATGTCGTGCGAAGGCAGGGTGATTTATAAAGGATTCCAGGTAATCTTCTGTTGGACATTCTACAACTGCACGCAAGTAAAGTTTAAAATAAAATAATATATTATATATACATTATATATTTGCGCAAAATAATTATGGCATAGAAAAATTTTGAGCAAAAATTGGTCAACTTTGGTTAACGGTAACTCCGCGAAAAATCATAAAATGATGAACTTTTTTTCAAATGAAAGCTTGAAATCTCTACTTTAAGGTACTGTGAGTCGATTTTAAATTTAATGCACCCCTGTTGTTGTAACCTCTTAAATCTGAGAGCATGTTTGTTACACTGAAAATTGCAAAGTTTGAACGAATGCACGGACTTGCTAAAATTTTTCTCGGGGATGCGGTTTCCAGCGTCATAAAGATGGTCTCTTTCTCTTTAATTTGAAAAAAAAAA